AGACGAGCACTAGACGGGCGTAGACGAGCACTAGACGGGCACCAGACGAGCGCTAGACGGGCGCTGGACGAGCTTAGACGGGCGCTAGACGAGCGCTAGACGGGCACTAGACGAGCACTGGACGGGCAGCACTAGACGAGCACTAGACGAGCACTAGACGGGCACCAGACGAGCGCTAGACGGGCACTAGACGAGCACTAGACGGGCACTAGACGAGCACTAGACGGGCACTACACGAGCACTAGACGGGCACTAGACGAGCACTAGACGGGCAGCACTAGACGAGCACCAGACGAGCACTAGACGGGGACGAGCACTAGACGAGCACTAGACGAGCACTAGACGGGCACTAGACGAGCACTAGACGAGCACTAGACGAGCACTAGACGGGCTAGACGGGCACTAGACGAGAACGAGACACCAAACAGGGCATTGGACGAGCACTAGGGCACTAGACGAGCTTAGACGGGCACTAGACGAGCAGACGGGCACTAGACGAGCACTAGACGGGCACTAGACGAGCACTAGACGGGCGCTAGACAAGCGGACGGGCGCTAGACGAGCACTAGACGGGCAGCACTAGACGAGCACTAGACGAGCACTAGACGGGGACGAGCACTAGACGAGCACTAGACGAGCACTAGACGGGCACTAGACGAGCACTAGACGAGCACTAGACGAGCACTAGACGGGCACTGGACGGGCACTAGACGAGAACGAGACACTAAACAGGGCATTGGACGAGCACTAGACAAGCACTAGACGGGCACTAGACGAGCACTAGACGGGCACTAGACGAGCACTAGGGCACTAGACGAGCGCTAGGCGGGCACTAGACGAGCACTAGACGGGCACTAGACGAGCACTAGACGAGCACTAGACGAGCACTAGACGGGCTAGACGAGCACTAGACGAGCACTAGACGAGCACTAGACGAGCACTAGCACTAGACGAGCACTAGACGGGCACTAGACGAGCACTAGACGGGCACTAGACGAGCGCTAGACGAGCGCTAGACGAGCACACGGGCACTAGAGCGCTAGACGGGCACTAGACGAGCACTAGACGGGCACTAGACGAGCGCAAGACGGGCACAGACGAGCGCCAGACGGGCGCTAGACGAGCACTAGACGGGAATTAGACGAGCGCTGGACGAGCGCTAGACGAGCACTAGACGAGCACTAGACGAGCACTAGACGGGCACTAGACGAGCACTAGACGGGCACTAGACGAGCACTAGACGAGAACGAGACACTACACAGAGCACTAGACGAGCACCAGACGGCACTAGACGAGCGCTAGACACTAGGGCACTAGACGAGCGCTAGACGGGCACTAGACGAGCACTAGACGAGCACTAGACGAGCGCTAGACGGGCTAAACGAGCACTAGACGAGCACTAGACGAGCACTAGACGGGCACTAGACGAGCACTAGACGAGTACTAGACGGGCACTAGACGACACTAGACGGGCACTAAGCGAGCACTAGACGAGCACTAGACGAGCACTAGACGGACACCAGACGAGCACTAGACGGGCACTAGACGAGCACTAGACGGGCACTAGACGAGCACTAGACGGGCACTAGACGAGCACTAGACGGGCACTAGACGAGCGCTAGACGGGCACTAGACGAGCACTAGACGGGCGCTAGACGAGCGCTCGACGAGCACTGACGAGCACTAGACGGGCGCTAGACGAGCACTAGACGGGCACCAGACGAGCGCTAGACGGGCGCTGGACGAGCTAGACGGGCACTAGACGAGCACTAGACGGGCACTAGACGAGCACTAGACGGGCACTAGACGAGCACTAGACGGGCGCTAGACAAGCGCTAGACGGGCACTAGACGAGCACTAGACGGGCAGCACTAGACCACTAGACGAGCACTAGACGAACACTAGACGGGCACTAGACGAGCACTAGACGAGCAGTAATGAGCACTAGACGGGGACGAGCATTAGACGAGCACTAGACGAGCACTAGACGAGCACTGGACGGGCACTGGACGAGCGCTAGACGGGCACCAGACGAGACGAGCACTAGACGGGCACTAGACGAGCACTAGACGGGCACTAGACGAGCACTAGACGGGCGCTAGACGAGCGCTAGACGGGCACTAGACGAGCGCTAGACGAGCACTAGACGGGCACTAGACGAGCACTAGACGGGCACTAGACGAGCGCTAGACGACTAGACGAGCACTAGACTAGACGGCACTAGACGAGCGCTAGACGGGCACTAGACGAGCACTAGACGGGCACTAGACGAGCACTAGACGGGCACTAGACGAGCACTAGACGGGCACTAGACGAGCACTAGACGGGCACTAGACGAGCACTAGACGGGCACTAGACGAGCGCTAGACGAGCAGACGACTAGGGCACTAGACGAGACGAGCGCTGGGAGCGCCAGAAGGCTCTAGGGAGGGCACAACCCCGGAAATTCCCGGAAAATTTCCGGGGATAGAAGAGCTCTAGACGGGCGCTGGACGGAGCACTAGACGAGCACTAGGTGGAGCACTAGACGAGCGCTAGACGAGCGCGAGACGAGCGCCAGACGAGCACTAGACAAGCACTAGACAAGAGGCTCTAGGGAGGGCACAACGCCGGAAATTTCCGGAAAATTTCCGGGGATAGAAGAGAGACGGGCGCTGGACGCAGCACTGGACGAGCGCTAGATGGAGCACTAGACGAGCGCTAGACGAGCGCTAGACGAGCACCAGACGAGCACTAGACAGGCTGTCTAGTGCTCGTCTAGTGCTCGTTTAGTGCCCGTCAATTTCCAGGCCAGGCCCAAAATGTTCCTTTTGGAGCTCCAAATGGCGAACTCTTTCCGTTTCAGCAAAAATGTGTAATTTTTATATAAACTCTAGTAAAGAACGGTCATTTCCAGGGTCAGCTCCAAAATGTCGCTTTTGGAGCTCCAAATCACAAATTCTTTGCATTTGAGCCAAGAGACTTGCCATTTCCATGGCCGGCTCCAAAATGTCGCTTTTGGAGCTCCAAATGGGAACTTCTCTACATTTGAGCCAAAATGTGTCCAAACCTAAAAACTATAAACCTAAATCCTAAACCTAAAATCCTAAGCCGAAATCCGAAACCTAAACCCTAAACCTAAACTCCTATATCTAAAAACCCTAAGCCTAAATCCTAAACCTAAACCGAACCTAAATCCTGAACCTAAATCCTAGACCTAAATCCGTGGCCTCTCAAAGGCACCCCGCCAGCAGGAACCCTAAAAGACCCGCCAGCAGGAACCCTAAACGGCGCCCCGCCAGCAGGAACCCGGAAAGACATCCCCCCAGCAGGAACCCTAAAAGGAATCCCGCCAGCAGGAACACTAAAAGGCGCCAACCCTAAACCTAAATCCTAAACCTAAAAACCCTAAGCCCAAATCCTAGACCTCAAAACCCTAAACCTAACTCCTAAACCTAAATCCTAAACCTAAAAACCCTAGGCCTAAATCCTAAACCTAAACCTACATCCTAAACCTAAAAACCATAAAACCTCAAAACCTAGACCCAAACCCTAGACCTAATTTCTAAACCCTAAACCCTAAACCCTGAACCCTAAACCTAACAATCCTAAACCTAAACAACCGTAAACCTATAAACCGTAAACCTAAAAATCCTAAACCTAAATCCTAAACCTAAAACCTTAAACCTAAAAGCCCTGAGCCTAAATCCTAAACCAAATTCCTAAACCTAAGTCTTCCACCTAAATCCTAGACCTCAAAACCCTAAACCCTAAACCTAAATCCCAGACCTAACTCCGTGACCCCCCAAAAGAGGAAAAGCAACCTGAGAACGTCAAAAGCAGGAAAAGCAACCAACAAGGTCTGGAAGCCTCCATGTTACGTGAAACTCTGGATTCCTCTTCGCAGCTCAGTTGATAGGTGGTCCTATGCTAGAAGGAAGAAGATTTCAAACATCCCAACTTGTGCATGATCTTGTCCGTCCGCAGTATTGCACAAACCTGCCGCCATTCGCAGTTGTGGGGCTTGCGTTTTCCAAAGGTTGTCTGGGCAACCTCCAAAATTGGGTTGCGCCGTTGTTCCCCCCCGATCAAATCAATCGCTTGATTTGAATCAATTGGGTTCTGTTGAATATCCCCGGTCTACATTCGGGTCGATGGCTGTCGAAAAAAATCCCCGGTGGCCATGATGTGAATCCGATGGATTTGGGGCAACCTTTGACTTGGCGGGCTGGGGGCTGGGAACCCAGACGTCCGGTTCCTTAAGCTTTTAGTTGCTTTTAGTTGGCTTTAGTTGGTTTAGTGGTTGGGTTTTAGTTGGTTTAGTGGTTGGTTTCTTTTCGTTGCTTTCAGTTGTTTTTTAGCTGCTTTTAGCTGCTTTTAGTTGCTTTAAACCCACTAAAGGTTTAACCTTTAGCAGGGGATCATTTTGGACAGCCCAGTGGAGGCAGGGTCCCAGAGGCATGCTCTTTGGGCGTGTGTGTCTCATAGCGCCAGCCGGGCCACGCCGAGGGCTAAAGAGAAGAGCGGCGGGGTGCTTTCTAAGAACTGTTCGACATACCCGAGGGTTTGTACTGTTCCCCTTTCGTGGTTTAAAGGAGTGTCCCCTTGACCTTGGCTGGGCAATGTTCAAAGGGGAGTTCAATTGGGAGTTTTGTGGCTTTTGAGCATGGAGGGCTAACCCTTTTCCAAAGAAGTGGACAAGGGTCTTTTTCAGGAGGATGCTCCTCCAAGACTTGATTGTTGGAAATATTTGGAAAGAGTGTGAGGCAACAAGCTGTAGCTTGCTGTTCTCCGAGGGTTAGCATGGGGATGGGATCCCCACCCGCATTTGTTCCAGTTGGTGTGGGAAAAAGCACCGTCCCTTTGATTCTTTGATTTGTTGTCGTTTTTGCGTCCTTTGAGCCAATGCAGAGTTGCAGGAGCACTCTGCGGATTGACATGTAACCCAAGAACCCATGATTTGTAGATATCTATTTGGGGACCCCAAGAATTGGTTCCAGCTTAATTTGCGGGGGAGCACCATGCTTTGCAAAGGGCTGCTTTCCAGAACGCAGGACACGCTGGGCAGTCTCATTAGCAGCTCGGCCATTTGGGTGTCTGTGGGTTAGACAGCGGTTGGACTTCCCAAGGGCCGCGTTGCCATCTTTGGATTCTAAGGACAGCCCCTCATCCGTTCTTGCGAAGTCACCAAGATTGTTCCTTTGGTTTTGAGAAGCCACCAAAAAAAAACAAAACACAAAAACAAAAAACACAGCGCAATTCCGCCATTTCGGAGCAGCATGATGCCCAGAAAACATGCCGGTTCCCAGCCGTCCGCTTCCTTAGGTTTTTAGTTATTTTAAGTTGGTTTAGTGGTTGGGTTTCGTTGTGAACCCACGAAAAGTTAAACTTGCAGGGGATCTGATGACAGCCCAGAGACGTGCATGATGGCCAAAGACGCTTTCCCTCCCCATGTGGCTCATGTCCACCAAACACTTTGGTGCATTTTGCTTGGATGTTAGGACTTAAACCACTAAAAGTTAAACTTTTAGCAGGGGAGCAGAAAGCAACCGAGAACGGGTCCAAACCACACAGAGATTCTCCTGCAAACGGAGGCTTCCTGGGCGTCCCATGTGAAGGTTCTGCCCTCAAAGCGGCAACTATGCACTTACTCTGCCGGTGTGTGCTTTCAGACCAGGGTTGCCGTTTTGGTGACAAAGAACAAGTCATCAGACGTTTTTTTTTGTTCTCCTCCGCGAATCGACATCGAAAGCGAGAACGCCTTCTTGCCTGGGGTCAACAAGTCATTGGACTTTTGGCCAAGCTCGACCGGAAGCGAGACCCCCTTGTTGCTTTGGGTCTCAGACTGACTCGACCTGAAGAGGATCTTTGGCTGATGCTCGGGTCCATAGGTGTCCTTTTTATGTGAGCCTGGTTAAAAATAGATGGCACTGGTGTAGGTGGGTGTTGTTCCATTTGCCAGGGGTATCTATTTTTCCAAAAGGCCACCTAGCCTGGGGTCGCTGGTTTTTCTCAGGCGGCTCCGCCCGGGCGTTTTACAAGGGCGAGCTGATCAACGAGCTCTTGGAGCGCCTCGCTCCGGGACTTGAACTCGGGGAGTAAGCTGTTGATATCAGGGGAAACAATTCTCTATCATGGGTGGATTTCTGTTGCTGTCCCTTTAAGCGAACCCCAAAAAAGGCAAAGAGACACTCATTTGACTGTTGGTCAAAACCCCAAACTGGGTTGCCTCATGGACACATGGACGAAAGCCAGTGGTCCATATCCTACATATCCTGGTGGTTGAATTTGACACACCCATTTGGGCATATCATGCATTTCAGTAGAACACCTGCAAAATAAAGATGCCTAACCAAGGCGGAAAGTCCAATAGACCGACTCAGGACCCCCCCCTCCGATTCGGCCGATGGAGAGTTCGGGGGAGCGGGGTGGTGGAATCACGGTCAACACGCAGGCCTCCCCGGCAGGAAGGGAGTCACGTTATTCATTGCTTCTGGTTACCCGTCGGCAAGGCTCAAAACATGTGGAATGCAGTGGCCATTCCGTGTCGACTGCAGCTAGGGCAATCATCGATGGGACACCCGCTCCCACGCGATGTGACAATTGCCACGCACAAACAGTGCCAGACTTCAAGCACAAGGTCTGGGATTGCACCGCACTGCAAGACAGGCACACGGCAGTGCCGACGACCACGCTCCAGGCGGCTCTCGCATGGCCGGCGCCGCAGCTGAGCACTCAGCAAAACACGGATGTCCTCATACGGGCGGCGGGCATCCGAGCAAGGCTGCTTGAGCAGCGCTACAACGGCTGAGGCGGCACGCCTCGGCGCCCCCCCGGAGGCAGCAATCCCGCAGTACGGATACTGCCAAGAAACACAGCAGCAGCAGCAGCAGCAAAACATGTGGAATGCTTTTGACTTGTCCAAGCCAAGGCTGTACGACGTCTTTAGGATGTGTTTTTGTTTTGTTTTTGCCTTTTCTTGCAAGGCTGGGGCGCGAGAGTTGAAGTTCAAACTTCAAGCATGGGATTTGAGCCATTAGGGCTTCTGAAAGGGAGATCAGGAAAAAACACATTGGCGCGAGTGGTTTCACTTGTATGAGTGTGTGTGTGTGTATGTGTGTTACATGTGCCAAATAATTATTAAATACTGACCCTGTCGGACTTGGCGTGCGCCCAGGGGCGGCAGACTCGCCCGGCCGAAGTGACAGGAACCCTTTTGGTTGTCACCCCTTAGGCCCTCAGAGACCCTTAGCGGGTGAGTGATGTCCCACGGGAGCACTGGAGTTTGGTGTGTTCAGAGGAATGGGACCCCTGTTTGCGGTTCCATGCAGGGTGCCACTCTGATCCCCCGTTTTTCTCTGCGGAACCGTCTTAGATGGAGGAACACAAGGTGGACACCCAGGGTCTATGCGCGCGAGAGCGCTCTCTCCATGCCGACGGTCCAAATAGGGGTGCCATCTTTGGAGTTCCGTGCTTTTCAGGGTTTGGACCACGCCGGCCGCAAAAATCACAGGGAAAACACAACACCATCTGGCAGCCTAGGTGCTGCAACCTGCATCAGCTGCGAAAGCTTCGAATCATCTTCGAGGAGCCTTGGTCACAGTCGGTTTTGGAGGGACGCATTTGTACCCATTTGGATTTGGTGACATGTACTTTTTTGTAGTTGCTACGGGAAGCCAAAGGGAAACTGTAGTGTTCCCTCAGCCGCGGCAAACCAGAATGGGGTTCCGCAACCCAACAAAAAACTGACGCACGAGGCTGGGCCCTCCCCCTCCCCTCCCTCCCCCTTAGCCCCGATGAGGCTTGCTCCGAACCTATGACCATTCTGAGAGGGCAGTGAAATATGGGAGTTTTCGTCAGCCAACTTGCACCGTCCTTGCTTGATGGTATTCACTCGATGCTTCTGCTCATCCAGTGCTTGACATGATTTGTAGTTATTTTGCTGGTTCGATAGGCAGGGAATGCCCCCTATTAAAAAAATGTTCTACGCCTAAACTCGGGAGGCCATTCATTCCCTGCTGAGCGCCAGCAAGTTACAATCATGTTCATTTTGAGTTTGGGGGCAGGGTCCTATAGGTTATTTTCAAGTTTGCCTTGAAGCCTTGTGTTTACTAGACTGAGTGAATCGGAACCGAAATGCATGAGCTGGTTTCCAAGGTAGAGGGTGGGTGCATGTCTGCGTTTCCACATGGCTTCAAGGGCCAGAACGAGAGCTGCAGAGAGCTACAGAATGGCAGCGAGCTTGGGTAGGGAATTTGACTGGTTTCTGGAGGGGTGGATTTTGCCGGTTTCTGGAAGGATTTGACCGGAGTTGGACCTGCTTTTAGAGGGAATGACTGGTTTCTAGAGGGGAGTTTGGGATTTTGACCCGGGTGAAGGAACCCCAGTTTTTTTAACAAAAATAAGGGGGGTGTCCCTGGGCTGAGTGGGGAAGCATCATCACTTAGGGGAACATAAACCACCTGTTTACACTGCCTCCTTCCGGCCCAGGCAGCCAGGTTCGTTGACAAACCCATGTCGAGCTCAGGACGAAGCCGCCCGGCGCGCTCACTTCAAGAAGGTCAGCGTGGTCGCCTTTAGGCCGATCCCGAGCCGAGTGGGAGGGGTCACCGAGGCCCCTAAACTCAGCCCAAAGCGAATCGACCGGATCTGAGCTTTTGGTTTCTAGCCACGAGCCTGGGCAGGAAAGTAGAAGAACACCGAGGTTTCTCCACTTTCGCAGTTGCTCAAAGCCACCATCTTGATTTGACTCCTCCTGTCGGGCTTATTTGGGTTCCAACTAGTGGCCAACTTCTATTTCTGGATCCTTTGGGCAAGTGAGCTAAGTCTAGGGTGTCTCCCTGAACCAGGACATCGGCCAAATTATTTCTTTCGGGTTTCCTGTAGAATTTCCTGTAGCTGGTTTTGAGGAAAAAGGTTGCATTCCGGTTGGGTGGTGGTTTTACAATCTTAAAAGGGGTAGCCTCAATAGTCTGAGACAGGGCTGCGATGGGCTCGCCCGAAACCGCGAAGAGCATTTGGGGAAAATGGGTTGCTCAGGTGAATGGAAACGAGGACTAAAACCTGGATTTACTTTTCAGGAGCCCCCAATAGCATCAACCCAGGAAGGAACCTCCAAGGTCAGGTTGAGGCATTAGGCACCCAAAGGAGGTGTCTGGAGTCCTCTTTTTTCCAGCAAGGGAGTTATGGTCATCTGGCCGGATGCATCTAGGCTCATGTTGCATACGCCTACCTCAAAAGGACGGCCCAGTTGTCGCTTGGGAACTTAGATGCCCTCCTGAAAAGGACCGTCGCGTTTACGGCAAAGCACTCTTGGCAATACCCCGCTGAGTGCTTCTCTTTGCAGATCAACATGGAACCCATCGTTTTTAGCAGATCGGCACCTGCTTCTGAGCAGTCCATCCGTGAATTTGCGGGGACTAAAAGCTGGGTGATATAGTTGGGGGTTACCTATAGCTTATATGAGTATACGCAGCGATGCCTGAAGGCTGGCAGCCCCCTTGCCACGGTGCGTCCTTATTGTTTGCCATGGCTTTGGGTAGACCCCTTTACAAAGTGAGAGCTCCTCCAGAATGGCGGTTTCGTTTTGGAGATAGCAAAAAGGAGTTCACTTGCTGGTTCTCAGCAGGGAATGAGTTGGAATGATTGCTATAAACCATCCATTCCATTCCATCCCATCCCATCCCATCCCATCCATCCCAGCCCAGCCCAGCCCAGCCCAGCCCAGCCCAGCCCAGCCCAGCCCAGCCCAGCCCATTTCATCCCATCCCATCCCATCCCATCCCATCCCACCCCACCCCACCCCACCCCACCCCATCCCATCCCATCCCATCCCATCCCATCCCATCCCATCCCATCCCATCCCATCCCATCCATCCATCCATCCAGTGGTTTCCTTTTTTTTCGAGAATCCCTGGGTTCATTACCAACACCCGGGTTTCTATCGCACCGATCACAAGTTCACCATCCTGCCTCTGGTTTTGATGGTTCTGGCCTGCCAGGAGCTTGATGGCTGACGTGGGTGTGCGCTCTTCGCTTATCGAGGCGCATCAAATTTATGACGAGACCTCCGATCTCTTTTAAGCAAAACTCAGCCTCCCCCCCCTCCCCCCCCAAAACAAAAACAACAGACAGACCTGATTTGTTTCGGCCTTCCGGTTTTGGTCCAAAAGATCCAAAAGGTCCAATACAGACTTGATCTTTGTTGGGCCTTCTGGGTTTGGTGCAAAAGCTTCGCCTTCACGCGAGCATATCACTTGCATCGGAGCTTTCAAAATACCTCTAGGCAGTTTGCGATATGCTGGCAAAGTAGGCAGCACTTGTCACGGACCAGGATCACACGTCCTTGTACTGTATGCCTATTTCGTGCTCGGGATGTTGGTGTTTCCCCCGAACCTGTTTCTGTTGATGTCACGCTTCAAGAGGTATAGAGATGGATGGAGCGTCCAAGAACAGGTCTTGGGGGGGGCGGGGGGGGGGGGGGGGTTGTGGGGGCGGGAGTCAGATGACATAGTGTCCTCATTGCATGCTGTCAGGCGACGACTTGCAACCAGGGTAATATGAGCGAAGCAAATAGAATAGGGGGTTGGGGCACTTTGTTTAGCCAAATCTACTCATGTTTGTCACCTGCAGCCGCAAGCGTCGACAGACGGATCGCCACCCCCGTGTAAAAATCGCCATGGGGCAGCAGCAGTGCTGTGCGAACCGGGAAGCGCACGACGGCGCAGCCTGGCAGCGAGGGCGCCACGGGGATGGCCCGAAGCGAATCGACCTTTTGGTTTTCTCATGTTGGTCCAAATTTGGCCAAGGTTCCAAAAGTGCAGCCATCTATTTCCAGGTTTCATAGGGGCAGGTGAGAGGATCTTCCCTTGAGTTGGGTTAGCGTTTGCCTGGAGACGCCGTTCGGTCTTAAATGGTGGATGCCCCACAAATTGTTGGAGACGACACCTGCTTTGGGCTGGCTGGCTGGTTTGGAGCAGATTTCATGTTGGGTTCCGGAGGGTTCCAGAGTGGGGGTGTCACCCGGGCTTATTGTTTAAGGTGCTCGATTAGTTTTTCAGAAATGCCCGCATGTGGGTCTCTCCATTGCGATAGGCTGTGATTTTGTTGCACCAAAGGGAAGTTTCAACAGGAACCTGCAAAGGGCTTTGCTGTCCTTTGAATACTTGGATTGCACCCCGTTTTTGGTTCCGGATGTACCCACTTAGTAGGTTACACGTTGTAGCCGTGGTTATAACTGGGTCAAGTGGAATCAGCCCCTTGCCATGTTTGCCATGGTGAAATATAGCCTGCTTGAGGTGGGTTGCTAGCCGGTGGTTGTTCCAAATTTGCCTAAAGGGGAACTACGGTGCTACCATCAGTGGTTAGGGAAATGCTCGGTGGGTTGAACATCCAAATTGGACAGAAGATGGTTTGGATTTGCGCTTTTTCTTGTAATCTTTTAGTTCTCTTTTGATATCCTGCAGGGGTGGATCCACAAATTCGCCACATCTAAACCTTTTTCTAGAATTTGAACAGGTCAAATTGATTTCAGGCAGTGTTGAAGCCTTTTACCGCCCTTGCTTGGCGGAGGTGCGGCTGAAGCCATCACCCAGCTGGGAGAACGAAAAGCGGGGGTGAGGGGTGGGGTAGGGTTCGAGTGTTAGCGGGTGGAGTTACCCACTTACTGTGTTTTTAATATGGGTGTGTCCTTTTCAGAGGTGCAGTTTGCTTGGATGTGAGGACTTTCACTTTTTGCCAACCAATTTGGGTTTTCCGTGTTAAGTTAACGTGTTAAGCCACTAAAAGTTAAAAACCTTTAGCAGTGGAGCAGAGTTAGCAACCGAGAATTCTGTTTTTTCTGCGACTTTTCGAAATGATTCGGCGCTTCCATTTTGGTTTCTGAGCCCAGGCGGCCAAGAAGAGCTGTGTGCTGCCGGAGCTGACGGAGGACGGCTTCCGAAAGGTGGCCTCCACCAGGCGGAAGCCGCGGTTGGATGTTGTTGGCATGTTTTTAGGTTTTGAGGTTTCCTTGGTTCTGTCCATTTTTAGGCAGGGGGCTGCAAGAAACAAAATGCAGTGTGTTGCTTCCACGCCAAGAGTTCGAAAGATCAGCTTTTGCTTTTCGGCCCCTGGGGCGGGGGCCAACTCCAAAGCTTGAGCTTCATTCTCCGCATTCGAGTCTTTTTGCAGCAGCGGAGTCCTGAGAGCCATTTAGGTATGGATCAAAAGTACACCAGGGGACCGCACTTATCAGGGTTTCATCTTGGGTACCTACCGTGGATGGACGAAATCCTGCACCACTTTGAAACCACTTTGATACCCCAGCTGGATCGCCAGTTGTTGTTTTTTTGGTTTCGATGCATTTTACCTCAAAAACCAGCAACAGTGACTCAAAAACAGCAACTTGGCTGTCTAGGCAGTTTGAAAAGCCCTTCGGAGTACGGCCCGGATCGATGCGCCAGGGACGCCTCGCAGATGCGCAGCTTCCTGAGACGCCTTGTGAGTCAGGGCGGTGGTGTCGCCACTTGGCGCTGGATGGCTGGGGGTGTTCAAAAAAAAAAGATACAAGGGAACCGCCTGGCGGAGAAAGAGGGGGTCCCAAACAAGAGAAAAGGATTCCCCAAGGAGGTCTAATCAAATTAGAGGTCTATGAAGGTGTCATACTGGAAACAAAGGAAGATGCTCTTCCATTTGGTTAAGTTTTTTTTCCTCCCCCCTGTTGGTTGTAAAGGGAATCGATTTCACTACTGGAAAAATATATATATATATATACATATATATATATATATATATATATTTTCCAGGGGACTTAAGCAGATGGAAGTTCTGTGGATGGTTGCGACCTCCGTTTCGCACCACCGTTCATGGAATCTTCAGGGGGGCTATGGGGGGGGGCTATCCCAGGATAACCCAAGGATAAGCCCCTTAATAAGGCCTTAAGGGCTCAATAGGGGATAGCCCCCTCCCCATAGCCCCCCTTTAGGGCCCATGAGCCTTCAGAACCTTGAGGGCCCGTGAGCCGTTCAGAAACCATGGTTGAAACCAGAACGTGTGTTCCGGTTTTTACGGGCCTATCATATCGAAACCCCCTGGTGTGTGAAGGGTGGTGCGGGAGTTCGTCCGAATCCACATGCCCCAAAAGGGGCGGGTCGGAGCCCGGGGGGTTGAGGATTGGAACATTGGACCCCTGGTAGAGGTTAACACAAGGAATTTCCGAGCCTAACTACACATCCAAACAACCAAACAGAGGGAAGCAGAAAGGTGGCTATGAATTTTACTGGGGAACCACCTCGCAAGTTGGTGGCCAAGAAAATGCCAGCTGATTCAGGGGTCACTGGATTTCTGGTTTTAGATCCGTAGGGCGGCTTTGTGAACCAATTGTTGGCCTTTGACGCTCCAAGCATGAAGTGATTCTCCTGGCCGTGCTTTGCATTCCAGGAAGCTTCCCAAAGACTTCCAAATCCGAGAGGCTGTTCTCAGAGAGGCATGTAAAAAGGTTTGTTTTCTTTTGAGGTACCCTGCTCAGAATCCTTTAAAGGGAAGCCAGATGGACAACCATTTTTAGGGTCGCCGTTTTGACACATGTGTTGGCATGTGTTTGGGTCGTTTGGTTTTGATGAGTGTTTTTTTTGTGGGTAGCTACCAAGGGTTGGAAGGGCAACAGAAAGGCGCTTTGGGCTTTGGTAAGATGGGATGGGAGGCCCCCCGGCCCCCCCCAACCCTGGCGGTTTTGATTTTGCCGATCCTCCCCCATGCGGGTTCCGCTTGAAGTTCCAAGTTCCGTTTTGAGGGGCAAGACTTGATCACTAGCTATGAACTTTGATGGGGCAATCGTGAGAACACAAATCCAAGCATGTAGTTGGCCACCGAGGGTCCTGCCACGTAAACAGGCAGCCGAAAAATGAAACTGCGGACGTCCAACCTGTTAAGGGTCAACTCGCAGGTTGGCAACCAGTACCTCCTGGCCAACTTTGCGGCGAAGTGCTTCTCGGCTGCAAAGCGGCAGAGGGGGACAGGAGCGATGCGGTGAACTGACGCACGTGGTGAGCTAGCCGGATCACTCCGCATGAGCGAAGCCACAAGGGCAGAGATGAAAGCTTTGTTAAAACAATTTGTCCAGATCCCGCATTCCAGACTTTCGAACGGAGTTGGTTTTTGGCTCCGAGCAAATCACAACGAGCTCAAACAAGGAGAAGACGAGCGCACACATGATGAAGGTTCTTTGCTTGGGGATACGGTACTTTTCCCGTATAGATTGGCTTTTGAGGTTGATATGCGCACATACCCCTGATTGCCAGCTCTCTTTACTTTCACTGCGTTTGACGGGGGTTCTTCATTTCCAATTTGCGAACGGCGTTTTGCCAAAGGCATGGCCAGTCACGCCATTAAAGTAGATGTGGCTAAGTAAAGGGGATGACGAGTGACCAAAATGGGGGGAATTGGTGCAATCGACTTTCAGTTCTACCTGGTGTCAAGAAGGTTGTGCACTCTGTAAAAACTTTTAACCTGGGGCCCCCGAAGGGGGGGGGAGGTTCCATCAACAGGAGTTGTCTCTACAAATGCTGGTGTTCACGCGGGGTTTCAAGTTAATCAGGGGAATAGGGGGCCAGAAGTCCACAAAACGGACGCACTTCTCACATTGGGTTGCGAGAATCTAAGACTGCTCCCAAACCACTACCGTGGCAACATGGAGTTTTTAAATACCTCTGATATAGCCACTATACCTAGTTTCCAGTGGTGCCCTCTTTCTTTTTTTTGGGGAAGGGTTCTCCTTGAAAGTCAACCAACCAAAACAGGATGCCCTTTTTTCCCATGGCCACATTTGAGCGCACACAGGTTCCAAGCTAGCGTTTTCCCTTCCGGGTAGCTTGGGCTTGGCTTGTTGGGCTCGCCAAAACGGAGCTCGGTTGAGGTGACCCGGAAGCCGACTTCCAGGAGCTTTTGCAAGAGCCGGCGCCTCGGCTTTCTCTCGCCTGTGGGCTCTCTTCACCCCTGCTCTCGAACGAGCGCCGGAATTGGGTTTGGCTTTGGAGATTCATGTGAGCCACAATCAACACCCGGGTGAATGACGGTTAGTAAGGGACGATCCCAACCATAAATAGCTTCGGCCGCCTTCTTAATCCTTTACATGGTTCTGGGTAGACCATTTTAGTACCAGGTTTTGATTGCGACTCATTTGCGTTTTGCTCTCTTCGGGGTTTAGGCTTGGGCTTGGTTTCGGCCGGGGTTTTGGGCTTGGATTGGGCTTGGGTCGGCCGTTTTGTTGCATTTTGGCCAAGTTGCCCAGAGCCAATCGACCTTTTGACACTTTGGTTCCGGTTTCGGTCCATATTTAGTCAAGGTTACAGAAGATGAAGCTTTTGTTTCTACTGTAGGTCTTTCCGGCAAATGAGTTGGGTTCTATTTGTGGTTGTTTGGAATATTTACTTGTTTGTGTTGTTTGTTTGTTTGTCTGTTTGCTTGTTGGTTGGTTGGGCTGGTCTGGTCTAGTGTGGTCTCGGTTGGTTGGTTGGTTGGTTGGCTGTCTGGTCTGGTCTGGTCTGGTCTGGTCTGGTCTGGTCTGGTCTGGTCTGGTCTGGTCTGGTTGGTTGGCTTTTTTTTTGTTTGTTGATTTGGTTTGGTTTGCTTTGGTTTGCCTTGGTTTGGTTTGGTTTTGTTGGTTATGTGTTTTGTTTGTTCTGTGTTTCGTGCGATGTTTTGCTTGCAGTGTTATTTGATTTGGCGGATTTTCCGCTTGGGTGGTTTGACAGACCACCGGTTGGGATTATGATGTGTGAGGAGCTTCCGCTTTTTTGGGCGATGTTTGAAGGGAACAAAGGGGGGGGGCCCGGGTCTTTGTTCCCCCTCTCCCCCGTGTACCATGGACGCTTAGAGTGCAGTTTGCAGCTAAGACCCCAAGACCAAAGACCCGGGCCCGAAAAGAATGGGGTTGAATCCCCACCCCCTTAAGACTGGAATTGGGGGAGGGAGGTGACCCTGGAAATCCATTTCTGGTTCCATTTTCCGTTTTATTGGGAAGACTAGATACATGGAATTGGGGGCGGGGGGGATGTGGTTGAAAAGACTAAGTGTTCATGATTTCAAAGTGTCCATCATACCGAATCGACTTCTTGGAGCCCCCGCCAAGAATCAAAGAGCAGGGGCAAGTCCCTGGGGGGGCTTGAGTTACCAGCTTGCCGATTTTGCATTGAGCTCAGCGATTCAGTTCCCTTATATCACAAGGCGACCTCGATGCGATTTTGATTGAGATTTGTGCCTGGCGGGGGGGGGGGGGGGGCGCGGCGGTAAGATTGCGGCACAAAAGTGGGCGTGATGGTGCCCTTTCCGCTTTAGAATTTGGCTACCGGTGCCGGCGGCCCTCCCTTTTCAAGTTTAACATGGTGTGGAGTTTGTTTTCAATGCTTAGTTCGGGATTCCACTGCACCCCAGGACCTACCCATCAGGAGAATGTGCAACCTTATATCGGTGGTAAATAGAAGCCTCCAAAACCAATACCTGAAAAAAAGCAACCTTGAGCCCATACCAGAGCTACTGTGGATGGACAGAATCCTGCAGCGCCCAAGAAACCATGGGACAAATTCTTTGTTGGTCACATTGAATCATCAACAGCCAGGGCAGCCAGGGTTTCTGAACGGTGCCTAAGCGGATTCAACCATCCGCAGTATGACTCCAACCAAAACCAATACCCCAAAAAACAACGACAACCTTGAGCCCATACCAGAGCTATGACTCTGATTTTTTAAGCGGGAACGCCCCAAGTTGGTGCCAAAGACTCCCTCCCCAGTTCCGGAGGCTGTCCGCGGCCCCCTGGGCCGGAGCCCCCAGCTGGCCCGGCGCATCCCGGCGCCGCGTCCACGAGGGCGGCGCCTAAACCGCGCGGCCGGGCGCAGGCAGGGCCTCAGGGAGAGCAGGATTGGCAACTGTAGTCTTTTCTTGGGTTTGGGCCAATTTGGGTGGTAAACAAGAAGTTTTGACGGTTTGGTGCCAATCTACTCATGAAGTGAGTTCCAAGTTGACCAGACAGAAAGGGGGTGTGCTTTGGTCCTTCTAGCCCCTGGGTCTACGGGGCAAAAAAGGGGCCAAATGAACACCGAGATTTCTCCACACCCACCTGTTTGCATCCGCCACCATGCTTTTCCAAGCAGTGGTAGCATGGCACATTTGGAGATAGGAGGGGAGGGGGGACTTTGTTCCCCAGTCCCAACTAAATTGGTTTCCCCCAAGGTCTTGTTGGGGTTCTTGGCATAGGCTGCATTTGCAGCTGATTTCCCCGTTTTGCCGCTTGTTGTTCTTGGCCTTTCATTGAGCACAAAGTTCTTGAGGCATTTCAGAACAAGTTGGGTGCCAGTTTGCTGGCGCTAGCCGCCGCGGATTCATCATAGTGAGTAACAATCAGATAGCACATGGACCCACCAATTATGGCCCCACTCTTCTCCTAAAAGCAATCAAATGTGTGATAGCTGAGCCCATTGGTTGGGTATCGTCAGCTGTTGTTACTACTTGACTGCTATTGGGTTGCTTTAGACTTTAACTTTTTGGGAAATCAAGGGGTTTTTCACTAAACCCCCAAACAGCTGTTCACTTTTTGAAGGGGGGTCGTTGCAGCCACGAAGGCTATAGCCTGGTTGGTGTCCGTGGGAGGTGTCCCACAAGGGATATAGCAAGCCAGCTGGCTGATTCTGCGTCATCATTCTCGCGCATTTTGCCCGACCACAAGCGTCGCCCCGGGAAACCCTTTGGGTTGCACGGACTTGCGGACCCGCCATAGAGGTTGCCCAAGTGCTAGGCTTCCTCCACCCCGACGTAAAGCCTTTATACTGGCGCTTTATATGATACAGGCTTCATATAACCGTATATAGTGCATTCCCTTCGCCCTTGGATAGATAGGTTATGCGGGCAGCGGGGACCACCTCACGTTGTTCCAAACTCCCCGGACTTCTGACTACGACAAGAAAGCCCTCTGAATACCCGGGCAACAAATGACCTCGCCAAAGAATTGCGACCTCGCCAACCATCTGCATTTTTGTTGGGGGTGTCCATGCAGATTTGGAGGGTGGCTACGTTGGGTCCGGACGTGGAATCCATGATGCAGCACCAGCCAGGGTTGTTCAAAGCCACTGCCCCACAGAATTTTAAAGAGCGCAAACGAAGGTTTCGAACCCGGTGGTGCGGAGGGGTGGTGGACCCCATTTAATGTTGACCCAGGATTAATAAACCCGTCCCACTATTAGGGGGGTGTTCCCTCCCAAAGTGGTGAATCCCCCCAAAAAAGGGGACACCCCCCTATTAATCAACCAGGGGTTTATTAATCCGGGGTTAACATTACCCTCAAACACCAAGATTCAAATCCAAATCCAAGCCAATCAGAGGGAAGTTGAAAGCTTGACATGCCCCATACAGCTTGAGTGAGGCATTTGGGCTGCCTGACTCTGCTGGAGCGCCGGTCCCGTCCCTGAGATCGCGTCCGGGTGAATTCATTTCCGGTGATCAAAGCAGGTGCTATATAGATTATTCCCACCCGCTTAAAACTGGAATTCGGGGAGGAAGAGGGTGACCCTCTGAGATCCTATTTATGATTCCATGGTTTCTTTTATGGGCAATACTAGATTCTAGATAAATGGAACTGGGGCGCCCCTAACCCCCTTCCCCCTTATGGAAGGGGGATCATAGATCATCATGTTTTGTCAAAAAGGAGATTCAAAAGTGATGGATCCTTCTTTGACTTATCCGACCTCCTCTGTATCACCGTATCACACGGTTTATACCCATACCACTTTGCGAAGGGAATATGCCTTAAGGGCTGAACTAAAGTTTCAACTAGGATTTTTTGGGCTGCTTGTCAGGCTGAATATCCCATTGTCTATACATACATCCATACATGCATGCACATGCACATGCACATGCACAGGCACATGCACATGCACAGGCACATGCATATGCATGCATACATCATACATACACACATAAAATTATTTTATTGTTATTTTTTGGGGGGGTCAAGCTTTGACCACGCGGATCTACGCAAATTAAGCAGACACTTCCAGGGCCGTGGCCGTTTGAAGTGCACTCCATGGCTGAAGCGCAAGCCCTGGCAGCCCATTGGTTGGGTAACTACTTGACTGCTATTGGGACACGGATCTTTAGACTTTAGCTTTTTGGTTGAAATCAAGTTGGGCTTTCCATTAAACCCACAAACAGTTAGAGACTTTTTGCAGAGGGATCAACAGCAACCAAGACAACTACAACCTTTTGAGGGCAACGGAGCAGCCAGACCACCTCGCATGGAAACCGAAAGATCGGCTCCAGCTTTTGAAGTCTGCGCGTGTTTGGTCAGTGGCGCTTGCCGGTTTGTGGGCACGCCCGACCAGCTGGGCGCTAAAGACCTAAAACGAACGAAACGAATTGGTAACTTTACCCATGCGCTTCTCACCAAAGCAGTCAGAGAGCTGCATGAGTTTCGGCCGCTCGCGGCAAGCAAAAGCTTTGAGGGCTCTGAGCTGAGTTGCTTTTGGGAAGCGGTCCTTGTGCTTCATGACCCGAGAGGGCACGCCCATTTGCTTGACTGATTAGCCGAATTCGGATCAACTTTTGACCCTTTGTTTTATTCGGTGGCGTCTCTTTTACGGCGATCGCGCCTGGCGATCATTTTGTTGCAGGTCCTTTAGTTGCTTGCGCGAGTTCATCCCAGTCCGTGCCCATTGTGAGAGGTGCTTTCAAGGAAGTGGCTTGGGCACTGGGATTTCAGGGGATCTCAGCCATAGGGGCAGCAGGGTGGGGCTAAAGCTCGATCCAGTTCAACTGCTGCGGACTCACCGGATGCCTGGATGCTTTGCAGCCATGCGTGACCTAACCCAGGGTTCCCGGAAAACGGACACATGGGCTCATACGGGTGTGCCTCTTGTGGGGACCTCCAAAAAGAGCGGCTTCTTGTTTTTTTGCCCCCGAGTGGCTGAGTGCCTGCCAGAGCCACGAGCCAGGACTACGTTCGCTGCGACAAGGCTGGGGCATTTGGACCGCCTTTGCCGAAGTGGAACGCAGCCGCCATAACAACCAACTGGACTGCAGTGCACCCTGGGGCTGCTATCCACTGTCTGGGATGGTCATCCAAGCAGAACTAGGAGAGAGAGAGAGAGATATATATATATATATATATATATGTATGATATTTGTATATATATATATGCATAGATTTGAAGCACGTAATGGACAGCATTCACATAGTTCTACACAGTTGTGCATACGCCATGGTAATAAGGCCTACGGTTGGGTGAAAGTAGATGGCACATGTCCCTCATTGGGTTTAATTCCCCCTACTTGCCCACTGAAAACATCTCTGAACGCTCAGATAGTTCATCCCAAAGAAGCACGCGCTAGTGCGAAGTGAGTTGCTTTCACATTACTCTTTCAATCGTGTAGCGCCGTGGTTATGCGTTTTGGAAAAGTCCCATGGCGTGGCGATTTACGCTACAAGACTGGGAGCCAACATTTTGACAACCCAACAACCCCTCCCCCCCCCGGGCAAAGCGGGTACAACGCTTGATTGCTATTGGGTTGGATCTTTAGACTTTAACTTTTTGGTTGAAATTAGGTGGGGTTTTCCATTAAACCCACAAAAAGTCATTCACTTTTTGCAGAGGGGTCATTACAGCAACCAAGGACAAAAATCAATCCCGCCCTGGTGTCCTGTCGTCGGGGCTCCTTTCGCCGAAAAACCGAAAGGAGTCGGACCTGATCAGCTACGACCTCTTGCTGAACGAGGCGATCCAGGAGCGATTTCGGCATTGAGACGCTCGGCGAGTTCGAGAGTTTCCTATATACCCAATGAACACATGGAACCTGACGTTCATACCCCGGTCCCTTAGGGAAAAGGGTCCAAACCAGGACCCCCCTCAATTCGTCAGGTTACACGTGAAAAGGGTGGGGGTTGGGGGTTGTGCATGCGCATCTTTGCTGCGTTCAACTTTCAGAAAAACTGAACCGCTTGAAGGCTAGCTCGGTGTGCTGGTCAAAGGATTGGATGAAGCGCTCGGACGGGGCATAGCAAGTGGTGCCCTCGGACTAGTTGGGCTACTACCTCTTTTTTTTTAGTTTGTTGGTTCTCTTCATTTTTGCTGGGGGGCAAGAGTAGAGATGCTGGGGTAGACAAGAAGTCGTACCCTCAAGGTTGGCGCGGAACGGCTGAGACAGGCGTTTTTCTGATTGAGAGGCAAGTGTAGCCTCTATGAATGACCGGCGTGTACAGTTTTGTTTCTTACTTTGCAGTTGACTTGGACACCAGGCTGCCAGTTATATGGGGCAGTGTTTCCTTTTTTTGTTCTCGCCAAATGAAGTGCTGGATTCCACAAATGAGTGTCAATCAAAACCTGGCTAGATGAAGGTTAGTAAGGGACAATCCCAACGATAAATAGCTGCGGATAACCCGCCTTCTAAATTTCTTTCTTCTGGGTGGGCCGTTTGAACATTCCGGGAATTGCCTATGACTCAAATGGTTTTCTGAAGATCTGTGGGGTACTGGCCCGGAAAGTTGCAGGAGAAAGAGCTGCGAAACTTGCAGGCTGCCGGGCCCCCAGGCTCGCCGGCCCTATTTCCTTTTAGGGCCGCCCGAAGAAGAAGCAGTAGCAGTGGTAGGTGGTAGGTAGTAGTTTGCAGTTAGTAGTTATTTGCAGTAGAAGTGTGAGGTGCATTTTTACCCATGTTTAGCCTTTGTTAAGCCTTTTGGGGGGGACTTTCGAGGTGAGGGGGGTAATCTCGTGTTTTTTTTCCCATGTCGGGCGGGGCCTCCGCAAGTCTTTCGAACTTTCTGACAATGCCAGCGGGCGAGGCATTTGGGCCAAACATGCTTGCTTCATTCAGAAATTCTGCTTTCACCAAACATCAAAAGGTCAAAATGCGACGCACGCGATGAAGATGTTTGACTCAGAAGAAGCGGTCTCTCGAGCGAGTTGGTGTAGGTAGGCTACAACCATGGGTAGAAGGTGCCTAACTCCGGTTGCTCCAGTGATATAACCATGGTTGTGACCTAATTATTGCTTGAGCGGTTCAAACTCAAAGTAGGAGAAGGGTCCCCACTGACCCTTCACCAGTGACACCTGAATCATGCACTTCCTTTTTTTTGGAGCGTAACATCCAAGTGGCACCTAGCCAGTTGATGCCAAGCGGCACCCTCAGTATGGGGCGTGCCTGCTGTTTTGGGGGGAATTCCTTCTCTGGGGCTCTTGTCCACATGCTGATTGCAGCTTAGTGACTAGTAGCTTAGTGACTAGTAGTTCCTAAAACCGTGCCATTGAGAGCCAATGAACTTCCCATGGCATGATGGCTCAGTTTCCATTGTGTGCTCCCCCTAATATTTTGCCCATGCAACCCCCTGTGCCTGAGGCAACGAACCTGTTCAATGAGATGGATGTGAGCAGACGGGGCTGCCAGACTCAGACAAACACTGTAAACTTTACTGTAAACCCCGTGCTGGTTTGAGCCGAGTCGTCCAGTGGCCACTCTTTTTTTCTTGTTCTTGTGTTGGTTTTCCCGCCAATATAAGTCAATCCCAACAAGGGTTCCGTACTAGCAGGGTCTCTGACCAACTGGGTAAGGGGAAGCCAACTGGTTTGGTCCTCGCTTGTGAGTGCTCCCGCCAATGCTGAGAAGCCTTGCCGGGGGGCTTCCAAAAATCTTGCTATGGCATCCTTAAACCTGAAAAAAGCAGCCTTAGGCCCTTCTTTTGTTACCCATGCGTTACCTTTGCAAGGAAACCACTCTTTGAGTTGCCCGTTTGGGCAATGCCGATCCGGACTTTCGACACACTCTTGGCTCTGGCCTCCGTCAGGCCCGGATAAGCGGATTCAGCGGATTCTCACGGAGCGTGCGATGGGAAACGCGTTGAACCCGTTTGGGAGTGAAAGGCTTTCGGCCCACTGGCAGTGGCACTGGGGGGATACGGAGGGGGGGTTAACTAACCTATGAACTGCGCAATTCCCCATCTGAACAAGTTGCTTTGTCACCACGTTCCAGCGGAGCTTGCCCGTAAGGTCAATCGGGATGGACCCGCCAGCCAAAAGGCATTGCCACTGTTTAGCGGTGACGTTGTTTGGGAATGATCCGAAGTGCTCCAAAAGAAACAGCTTTTCATTTGGATGCCCTAAATATCGCAAGTAGACCAGGCAGATTGTTCCTCTTGCTATACTCTGCGGACATCTACTCTCATGGAGGGAGGCAATGTTCCAGACCCCCGGTGCGATGCAATCATGGGGGCTGGGGGGAAGGGAGGAAAGGGAGGGAGCCCAAATAATAAGCCCTTATTGAGCCCTACATTGAGCCCATCATATAATAATAAGGCCTTATTTAGGGCTTATTTGGGCTCCCTCCCCCTTTTCCTCCCTCCCTCCCAGCCGGTGCGATGCAATCCATCGAATTCGCATAGGCTACCTCTACGTGGACGACATCGAGGTGATGCTTCGCAGTGATGCGCCGGGCCCTCGGCTTCCAAGTCTCCCAAGCCATTGGCTGTGACCGACTACTCAGTGGCCCAAACATGAGAAGGCTGGGCGGTTGGGAAGCATTTTTCCGAAATGTTTGATCTTATTGTGGCTGAGTGGTTGAAATCCAACCACTTAAATTAACTGCTAACATATTTAAATGTTTGCTCCAGCCGGCCTTTTGACCTTTTGGTTTCTCCTTTTTGGTCTAGTTTTAGTGGCCCCAAAAAGTGATCACCTTCTATTTCTGGGTTTGTTTGGGCAAGTGAGATTAGGTAGACCACCCATTAGGTGTTTGAGCGGCCTTCTTTGACAAATCTGTCTTTGTTGATCCAAATCCTCCATTTGCTGAAATGATTTGTTTGTTTTGTTTTTTGTTTGGTATTTTTTCCCTTGTTGGTTTTTAAAGGAATTCATCACTACCGGGCATATTTTCTCATTTTCTCCCGGGGCCTTAACCAAATGGAAGTTTCGGTTTCCGAGGACCCCTCCTTCCCCAAGCCTTGGTCAAGCAGTGCATGAAACCATTACCCAAGCTTGGCGGCCAGCCCAGCCATCCGGGTCTTTTTAGCTTCTCAGATGGGATTTCCGTATGTAAGCCACTAGTTCTTGTGGACAGTCAACCAAATCAGTTAGGCAATGTGCCTCCTTCCCTGTGTGCCAGAATGATAGAGGAGACGCCTAGGGCCCCCGGCACAACCCAAGGCCATTTAGGTGCACTCATGCGACAGCTTTCGATCTGAGTTTGGGGCTGGGACTCGAATCCTCTCATGATACCCCTGGGCTGGTCGACAGAATTAGGGAACATGTGAATTGTCCACTGTGATCTGAGAAAATATGGAGGGGGGTCCAACCCTGCACTGCTACCAACGGGGATGGCCGCGATGAGGCTCTTCTTGTCCTTCTTACGCCTGGCACACTTCCCGGTAGATGTGGTAGGTAGTGGGATGGCAACGCCACAATTGAGGAATTGCGCCGGCTAGCCGGTTACCAGCGTTTCCGTGTCATGTTGCATCGTGGCTGGATGAGTATTTCTTGAAACGGGATTGTTCGACCCCAACCCTTAGTCCCAGATGGTAGCGATTCCCTTGTGGCGTCCCACTATGGATGAGAACTCTTTGGTTCTCTCCGCCATGGGGGCCAGTTAAAGCAGGAGCCCTGCGGGCAAAGCAGTGGGTGGTGTTCGGATGTATCCTGCAAGGAACCCTGCGGAAGACCCAAATTCGAATGTCTCTGAGTTTCATGTTTCATGTCGAGTTCACCTGTTATTAGCTGGCGTCCCAATGCAAGTGCTATTTGTCTCAAAGGAGCGAGCAAGCTTACCTAGTGCTACAAACCAGCTCGCAAGCAGGTCAGTGACAACCCCCCCAAAGAACACCACTCCAAGAAAAAGACCAGACGCTTTGCTCTCAGGTTTGACTGCGTAGATTCTCGGCAGCAAGGGCAATTGCCACCTGCATGCGCGTGGCTTTGCACCACAAGGGTTGTTAAAGACTGCACTGGGGGGAGGGGGAAACATCGCTTTTCCAGCCGATTTAGAGGACCTGTGACACCATGGGGTTGTCTCTTTTAGGGGACCCTCAAAGGATGGCATTCCTTTTCGGTTTTCTTTTAAAAAAATGCCGAAAAAGGGGTACCAACTCCAAAAGAGAACCACCCACTGGCTTTCCAATGCATCCTTTTAAGAAATGCCCAAAACCATCTCACCCAACGTGTATAACGAGCTCACCGCCATGTGCCTTCGGAGGTTTCACTGACAGAGGCAAAGGGGATTTGCCTGTTTTGCCGACCCCCAGTTTTTTAGACCTATAAGCCAAACAGTAAACTGATCTTATGCTTGACTGCTATTGGGTTGGATCTTTAGACTTTAACTTTTTGGGAAACACCTTTTGGCAGGGGGGTCAACAGAAACCAAGAATGGAGGTCGACTAAACGTGGGTTGGAAAAGCAGGGTCCTCATTGGCTGTGGCGTCTCCGGCCGCTAGGGGATCTGAGATCGCTTCCTCTTTTGAGGGTTTCGGGCGGAACAATTGCCACAGTTGCGGCGGGGGGGGGTGCCTTTTTATTCAGGGAACCCATTTCTTTTTGGTACCTTTTAACAAAAAGGCCCAAAAGGATTCCCCTAACAAAGCACACTTGTATATCACATCAAACTGCCTTCATGGGCATGTGTCCAATCCCTCTTTACATTTGTTGGGCACTTGACTACCCAGCTCCCTACCCTTTTCCGTACCCCACACGACGCAAGCAACTTCCTGCCCTATCTAACCCGACCTACCCGACCACGCCTACCCTGCCCATACCCTTCCCTGTTCCCCCTGCCTGACCCTACCTTCCACCTTGCACGCCTACCCTATCCTAGCTACCCTTTTCCGTACCCTTTTTTGCCTGTCCTACCTGACGCACACAACTGCCCAGCCCTACCCTATACTTTGCTGGTTGTGTGGTGATTTCATTTCTGGACATGTACTCCCACAATCGCACGGATTGGAGGCTGTGGAGGCGGTGTTAAAGAAGCTCAACACCAAGGCAGCGGGAGGGCCGGAGGGCTAGGGTGTTCTTTCTGCGCACAACATCCAAGGCCTTTCCGTGCAACATTTTGGTGTGCCTGAATTAGAATGGGCACCCTGCAATGAAGACCTCACTTGCGCGCAAAGCGAATCAACCTGCTGACCATTGTTTTCGCCCAGGTTCTGAAAGGCAACGGAGCCAGGCCAAGAGATAGCTTCGTCTTTTGGTCATGTCCCTAATTTGTTTGGCAGGCGGGTGTGGTCCTGATTAACCCCGGACTGGTATGTTCAGACATGGTTGCTTTTTCACGGAGCGAATCAGTTTTGTAGGGAGCGCTTGCTTGCTTGGGCATCTGGTGTTGGAATCACGGGAGTTTCAGGAAAAGAGAGGATCCTTTGCAAAGCAGGTGGGGCAGTTTGGGGATGAACCCTTTTAGGAACCCGGCTAAATCAAGTATGGCGGGTACAACAACAACGACAACAACGACAACAACCACCAACCACCAACCACCAACCACCAACCCACAACAACCAACAACCAACAACCAACCACCAACAAGCAACAAGCAACAACCAACAATCAACAACCAACCACCAACAAGCAACAAGCAACAAGCAGCAACCAACCACCAACCACCAACCACCAAGCAACCAACAACCAACAAGCAACAACCAACAAGCAACAACCAACCACCAACCACCAACCACCAACAACCAACCACCAACCACCAACAAGCGACAAGCAACAACCACCAACCAACAACCACCAACCAACAAGCAAGCAAGCAAACAAACAAACAAACAAGCAAGCAAGCAAACAAACACACAAACACACAAACACACAAACAAACAAACACACAAACAAACAAACAAACAAGCAACCACAAGCAAACAAACAAACAAACAAAGAAACAAACCAACAAACAAACAAACAAACACACAAGCAAACACACACACACACACGAACACACAAACACAAACAAACAAACAAACAAACAAGCAAACAAGCAAACACAAGCAAACAAACAAAGAAACAAACAAAGAAACAAACAAACAAACAAACAAGCAAACAATCAATCAATCAATCAATCAATCAGTCAATCAATCAATCAATCAATCAATCAATCAATCAATCAATCAATCACTCAATCAATCAATCAATCAATCAAACAACAACAACAACAACAACAACAACAACAACAACAACAACAACAACAACAACAACAACAACAACAACAACAACAACAACAACAACAACAACAACAACAACAACAACAACAACAACAACAACAACAACAACAACAACAACAACAACAACAACAACAACAACAACAACAACAACAACAACAACAACAACAATCAACAACAACAACAACAACAACAACAACAACAACAACAACAACAACAACAACAACAACAACAACAACAACAACAACAACAACAACAACAACAACAACAACAACAACAACAACAACAACAACAACAACAACAACAACAACAACAACAACAACAAC